GTTCTTTCGTTCTTTCGTTCTTTCGTTCTTTCGTTCTTTCGTCATATATTTATGCAACTTATTTGTTTGCTCATAGCTTGACCATTCGGTTGACGCCAAAGCCATCGAGCCACCAGACATCAACGATGCAAAATATCATTCCAGTAAGAGCTGGTTTGGTAAACAAGTCGGTAAAATTGAATTCGAGGTTGATAACGCTAAGCACCAGCTGAAAACGAAGTACAAAAGGGCTTACGATGTGTTCCAGCAAGTGAAGACATACTTTAGTATAGTAACTGGTTATGCTGGAGCAGGTAAATCACACAGGGTTTTAGTCGAATTCAAGTTTTTATAATACGAGACCCTGGTGGTTGGGAAAGTTTACTAGTATCTAAGTCTCTAAGAATCTAACGAAAAAAGTGGTAATAAAAACTGCAAAATTTCGAACAACAGTGTCGAAAGCCGTTTAGGCAGAGCGTTTATGTCATACCGATCAAAGTCATCGAATAACTGAATTTGGAACTCCAAACTCCAATCTCAATTACTATCCAGATTTTGGCATACGTAATTAAGTTGTCGCGACTTTAGCCTCCATAAACATGCACATTCGCACGGACATTTTATAGCCTTCTTTAAAATCGAAATGCTTCATTAAGACGCAAATACAGGCTAATCTTTGCTCAGAATTTCTCTCAGATTTTCTCTGAGAATTTCTCTCAGAATTACTTGATTCTTCATAGTTCCCTTGGGAAAATACAGAGTTATTTCATGAGCGGTTTATCACAGGTAACCCGCTTATAATACACTTAGTAAAATTACTCGAGATTCTGATTGAACAATAGGATTCCGATTAAATGTTTAATTGTACTCTGTAGAGTCCCAATTAAGTTACTTAATTTAGTCCCAATTAAGTTACTTAATTTAGTTGAGTGTATATAAACAAAAATGTCGCGCGATCTTCTCGTACAATTCGAAATTCATAATGCTCGTGATATTTTGAAAGTTCTCAAATTAGACTCGCCTAAAGGCTCGGTTTAATTTGAAAAACTTTCAAAAGCTCACTCGTACTTATCAATTGTACTTCAGGCCGTGAGATTTCCTATAAAAATAGAGTTTGTATCCAGCTCATATAGAAGCTTTTCAACATCACTTGAATGCAGCCATAACTTGGTTGAAATTATCTACTTCGGGTTATAAAAATGAAACAAATATTTATCCTTTTCGTGCAGCATATACGATTTACCGTGTGGTCGACAAGTTTAAGCAATGCGACACGGCGTATGAAGAAGCCGAGAAGGCTGTCAAGGAAATGAGGAAAGCCAAAGAGAAGATGGACGAGATATACGACGCTACGGTTGCAGCAAGACAACAGATGTATGATGTAAGTAAATCAATTTCTGATGAACAGAGGACTGGTGACAAGGTTCGACATTTGATCAAATATTTAGCCAGCAATTATTGGGTCAAATATTAGGAGCATTTGTCGTCGTTTGGCTTAAATGATGATTCAGTTATTGCTTAATAAATTCGTCAAGGTGATTCGCGGATTTTAGCGGTTTTAATGCGCGCGCACATCGCGGGCTCAATAGCGTTCTTTTTCTATACCAGAGACCTTTTTGAGATAGCGAACATGGTGCATTGTGGTCTAGCTTCGGTGCAAACATCATGTCTTATATGTTGTTGTTTGTACCCAAGCTAGAACACAATGCATCCTGTTTATGGAACTCAGAAAAGGCCTAGGCAGCCAACTTCAAGAATTTTGAGTCATGTGACTGCACTCCAAAAATAGATTGCTGTTTTTTAACGTAAACCAAGCAATGCACGCTTGCAATTGTCTTGAATGCGAGGCCAACATGGAAATACATTGAAGGGAAATGCCACAAATTCCATCGAGAAAAGTGTGATTTCTTGTGTATTTCCATGTTAGCCACACGATACTTTTAAGAAGGGTTCATTAAATGAAATAAATTTGGCCGCCATACACACCTCTCCTCTGCCATACTGGTATTTTTAAAACCATTGCCGTTGATGCAACTAACTAAGTACACCGATTATTTTTCTTCTTCGAGGCACGTGACTTTTTGAAGAGCAACCTGACCGAAGGAGTCTTCGTAGACGACCTCACGGAGCTGAAGGACAATCTTGATCTTATCAAAGGTGATGGTATTGATCAACAATTCCTAGACGTGCTGGCCGCCATTCACAGATACGTCACGGAGGCTCCCAAATCCAAAGATTCTACTTTTTACAAAACAGAGCGGCTCCTGCGAATGTTGTATGAAAACCTTTATCAGCTTCCAAAGTACTATAACTGCTATACTGATAAGGTAGCAGTAGTAAGGTAAATGTTGTCGATATTTAGAACATTTATTTTTTATTCATCTCAGTAATCCGATTATGAGCATGAATGTTTCACATATTCTCTGCGGTTGTTGTGTGGTGGCTGTATGGGGTTCGCGTGCATTCGTGGTGCCCCAAGTGCTCTATCCAAAGCCATTTGAATATTACTAAACTATGTATGTAAGTCATGGGTCCGTGGTGATCGGATTAAGAGAGCATGAGAATGTCTCATGGCTCTCTCCCATTGGAAAGAGGCCTCTATATCAACCACCCCAAAGATAGAAAGTGACAATTCGCGGCAAACGCGAAACCAGACCAGCAAGCGATATGTAACCTACATCTCGTTAACGACTCTCCGTACCTCCCCTGGCTTCAGCGGAGGGTTGATTCACCAAAAACAATGACGGCAGGAATAATATTAGTGCTATTAAGTTATCAAGGAGTAGCATCAAACCATTGGACTTTCTTTTCTTTTTTCTTTTT